CCATCCCCACGCCACCCACGGCCATGGCGCACACCTCCAGCGCCAACACCAGCCCAACACCCACCACCACCAGCCTGACCGCAACACCGAGCCCGGGACCCTTCCCCCCTTCTCCCTCCTCCCCCGCCTCTGCGCAGCGCCTCTACGACGTGCGCCTCACCATCCGCTGGCTGCACCACGGCGAGCAGCGCATCATCGAGAACCTCCGGCCCAGCCTGCGCGCCCTGCAGGAAGCGGCCCTGCGCTATGTCAGAACGCACCCGTCGTCGTTCCACGGCAGTGGTAGTCAGCCACAGCAGGGCACACCGTCGATGAGCTGCCTGCGCTCGTGCGTCCGCCAGGCCTTCTTCGGGAACGAGTCCTACGACATGAGCACGTACCGCAGCGACGACCTAAGCAAGCTGTTCGCGGCCCTGAGCTCAAACGGTATCCCTAGGTTCGAGATCGACGTCGATTTCATCGGCGTGCCGGTGCTGCCCGGGACGATGGGCAGGGGGGAGAAGTAAAGGGAGAACAGAAAATGGAAATATACTAGGTTAGGCTACTACTCTACTCGCGTGAAATATTCCCCAGCTCGGCTTCGTCTTGGTTTCTTTTCGTTGGCTTTTCCTATCGATTATTCGGTATGTTGTATTCTTTTTTTGGTTTCTGTCTTAGCTAGCAAGCAGTGCGTTGAGACATGTCAAGTCGGCAGTGCTTCTCTCCTTCGTCTCCCCCCTTTTTTTGCTTTCCTTTACTCAGATAAACATCATACGAGGTCTGTTGAACAGCGCTTATGGGTATCGCCGTCTGTCTTTTACGGTAAAGAATCAATGAGAATAGGATATACAGGGGACTACGTGGTCACTTGAAAGAAAAGCAAACTTTTTTCTTTCATTTTCAATATTATCATTGCCCTCTCTTCAGGGGTCGATGTAGCTAAATATTTTAAGTAGGGTTAGGCTAGGTTCGTGCGTATCTAATACTGTATATGTCAGTTGCTTCGTCCTAATGGCACGAATGTGAAAGTTCTCCTGATTCGTGTAGCGGTTTCATCTACTTTCTTAGTATCTTATCCTGCCCGCCAGGAAAGGGGTTCGAGGAACCCATGCCTTGTAAACTTCCTCTCGATTCAGTATATTATCAAGCCCAAACAACTAAAACACGCAAGAGAAGCGAAGAATGAGTTCTGAGTGCTGCTCCCAGAGAAGGGAGAAAGAATACATTGAAAATTACCGTTTAGCCAAAGCATCTTCGGATTAACTTGTTAGATTGGTTATCGTGTATGTACATAGTATACGGTCTAATACCTAGCCAAGTACGCCCTCGTGCCCCTGAAGAGGCTCCGAGATAGTCGTACGGCGGTCCGCTGGCGTCAAAAATAACATCATCTTAATCAAATCTCCTGGCTATCTAGTAAGCATCGATTACAGAGGTCCAGTATTTGCCTATACATAAAATACCAAATGTGTCACATGCTCTACCCTTGATCATAGAACGCGTCGTAATTATTTACAGTATGAAGAGCATGATTACTATAGGAGATGACCCCATCCGTGACATCACCTTTTCAGCTCACAGTATCCGACATTTCATATTACTATCCGTCCCATGTTCGCCATATATAACTTAAGTAGCTCCTCATCTAGATGTATGTATCTGCTTCATCGATATAAATAGTAATTCCTCCTACCCCTTTGCATCTACCGACCTAACCTAGTAGCCATGAAACACCTATGACGGAAATCTCCTTTATACCTAACAGTTTTAGGGGAAAGCACTCTGAGTAGGAGAGAAGCCACGCACAGCAGCAAAGCGTCGACCTGGTCATCGGGTAACCAAGACACGGCGCCCCGCGTCGCACCCGAGGGAACCCGTTCCAGTCCTGGCCCGGCCCAACCCCCTCTACCCGCGTACGTTTTTATGCTGTGTAGCCGAACCATAGATCTGGAAGACACCGTTACACCCTTTTCTCCCTCCACTCCCACTCCTACCCACCCATTAGAAGCCCGCATAGGGACAGATAGAGACGTATGTACTAGGGGGCGGAGGCTTGCATGGTATAGTGGCGAGCCGCGTCTTCTCTCTCTGCGTTGCGCGTACGCCTCTATATACCTTGCGACGAACCCCCGTTTCTTCTCTTCTCGTTTCTTAATATATCGTTTAAACACCCTCCCCTCCCCCCTCCCCCCTTTTCAGGGTAGATTTTACGGCAGATGGAATATGGCAGAGATGGGGCACAAAAGGAGACTTTGGTCCGAGAATCGGTGGTGGTTAGTCGCGGAATATGATTTCAACTACCTCTTACTCACAACATTGCAGGATCTAGACCTTATCCGACTTGCCCTCCCTTTCCCGCCCCTTTTTATCATTCTCAAGTCTTCAAAGAGCATATATGGCTCGGCACCGAGAGGGAAACCACTATATGATCAGTATCCAAGTCTAGACACTTAGTTGCTGACAGGTAAAGATAGGGGAGGGAGGGCACGGAATAAACTCAGACGGGCGGAGGGTATTGGGTTGAAAAATGTCTGCAGTGATCCGGACAGGCCGACCATAGATTTAATCCAGGCACGCAAAATGCTTAATCGAGGCGTTTTGTGTCGAATGAGATATGACATGCTACTGTCTAGCGTGCTTTGCAAAATGCGTTAGATCTTATTTTCTCCTTTCTGTACAAACTTCTTCCCACTCCGCCTACTCCTCCTGCCCCCCCTTTTCTCGTCTCCCTCGTCTTTTTTAAGACGGTATATCCTCATTCCGTGTTTCTGTTACAATATTTTCTATATATATCCCGTTTGCGAGTGTATGCTGGTTATATCACTGACAGTTCCCCCATAAATATATACCTACACAAAGGCAAGGAAATAGAGCATTTATGTTACACCCGTCAAGCAGCCATATCACAAAGACAAGAAAATACGCTCCCTACCTAGTCTGTGACGTTCCATCATCCTAAACAAACTCATCCCGCAGCCTGCACGTCAACAAGAAACCTTTTTTCCCATCTCTAGCACTCTTCCACACACTGCAGTGTATCGTCCGATAGCGTAACGCAGTAACCCGGGGAAGCACGGCTAGCATGGCCATGGTTTTTTTTGGTTTCCTTATGTTACCTCTGGCGGCTACCTACCTCCCCTTTTTTTTCTCGGTGTTCTCGAACCTCGAGCACCTCTCTCTCCATATCTCCTTCTCTTTTAGTATTGTCGACATATTTGCGGTACTCGTAGATCCCCGGAGAGAGAACGGGTGGACAGGGGGGAAAAGAAGGGGGGAGGAGAAGAAGGAAAGGAAAGAGAGTAGGAGTAATTGGCAGCTAGAGATCCACATGCTACAAACATGCAATGCGCATTATACGTACGTAGGCCTTCGTTCATGTGCCGTGCGGTACGGTGCGGTGCTCCTTACTATGTGTAAGTATTAAGGCAAATAAGCAAAATAATCGTGACGCACGCACGCTAGCTTACACCCCATACATCAGGGTCAAGATAATCTTGACTATCTACCTTACATCACATCCACTCTGCTGTCCTAGTGCTACTCTAGTCTAGCCATGTGCTCCCTCATGTCTATACCCGTACCAGCCCGTGCCCGTGTCCGCTGCCCGGTGATATGGGGGGGGGGGGGGGGGGGGGGGGGGGGGGGGGGTAGGTGGGTTTTTTTTTGGGGTACGCGGGGGTGGGGTGGAATGGCGAGAAATGTTGTTTGGCAAAAACGAGCAACGTAT